TCTGAATAGCTTCTTCCTGTTTACCAAGGTAGGAAAGAGGCTGGATGCCAACTCAAGTCTTAACTGCTCTTCTAGGTCAGGTGTTTGGGAGAAGTCCTGTTGGGTGTAACCTGTGGGTCAGAATTTGGCTAGGGGTCCCTCAGCCCTGGGAGGTGGGCTGGTCTTCTCCCTCTGCCACCTCACAGGCATGGGAATGAAGTGTGCCCAAGCATCACCTCCTGTTGTCCTGTGACCCTGTGGTCCTGGATCTGGGGAAACTATCTGTGGCTGTTAAGAAAATCGTTGAGAGTCAGAGAACACTAGGGCATAGGTTCTGACCAAGAAGCTTGACTCTAAACTAAGGTCTTGAGTTTGATGGTTGGGTTCCTTAGCCTTTCCAGGGCCTGCTATGTTTCTAACCCTAGGGAGGAATTGGCTGGCTCCCAGGGGCTTTGCTCTGAGGAATCGCATAAAAGACTTAATGTTCCACCCTTGCAGTTCCCGTTCTCTCTCTAGGGTTCCCGCTGGACTGGAACTCTGCTTGAGCTACAGAATACTGATGCTATCTAGATCCCTGTAGTGGTTGGATGGGATGGTTGGCCAACTGGTCTCAGCAAGAGAGCTGGTGGTAGCCCTTAGCTTGGCCTGATGTCTAGGAGAGGGTGGAGAATGGGAGCCTAAGCAGGAAGTCACCCTGCCTTTGGAGAAGCCAAGCATTTAGATGGGTCCTCATGGTCCTCCCCCTTTCCCAGGCTCCAGGCTGGCCGGGTGCCATTTAGCCTGTACCTTTGACAGCACCCTTTCTCTGCCCACCCAGCTGTGCCTTTTGTGTTATCCCAGGGCTAGGAAGCAGTGTTCTACAGTAGGAAGCAGGTTCTGAGCCAACACTGAGAGCTATCTAGCTTCACAACTCCTAAAGTGAAAAGTGTTTGGGATTCAGTGGCTCAGATGAGGAAACAGGCTTTTAATGGGACAGCAGCTGCGACTGGGCATTGGCATACCCTAAAAGCCCAGATAGTCTGCTCTGAGTAAGTGCTGATCTCTGGTCTCTGTGGCTTCAAGTCAGGAGTCTGTCCTTGGACTGAGGAAGAAAGGACTGATCATGTAAGCTTTTAATGTAACAAATTCAGTCTTGTAGAATTCTGCCACAGTGCTTTGAGCTGGTAGCAAGTACACTTGTTTATGCTGAAAACCAACACACAAACCAATCTGGGGTTGTGGAAGTGAGGTGGGTCAAAACTGCTGCTTCTATTGGCGTCTGTGTGGAATGGGGAGTACACGGTCACCAATGCCTTCATTTTCCTACAGTGAGTCAGAATAGACAGCGGACTTGGTCTTGGTGCTTTTTATCTATCTCCCATTCCTTTATCCTACTATGTGTGTATGGGGAGAGGGGTGGTATGTAGCCCAGACTTGGGAACGTGCAGGTAAGGTGCCACAAACTCAGAAAGCAACCCTGATGTCGAGCATATCTGCACACATTGATCTAAGTATGAGGACTATGAAGCCTCACGAATCCTGCTTCTCCAACACTGTGGCTCCTATCCTGTGAGGCTCCATTTTGAGCTGCTTGCTGCCTTGAGGACAATGCCAACTGCTCTGGCTTTTTCTCTCTTGTAGGTTTGTGTGTGCCCCCCATTAGGAAATTGTATTTACCTCTTTTGCTGCCAGCTTTCATAGATCTCATGTCGATAACACCAGGCACACAGGCAGTGGGCTCTCAAGAAGGCCTTCACAGAAACCTTGTAAGGTAAAGGAGTTCCTTTGCTCAAGGAGTGAAGATCTGCCAGAGCCTCACAGCTGCAATGCAAGATCCACGTGGTCCTCCTTGCTGGGCCTGGCAGCTCGAGGAAGCAGATGGTCAGGACAGGCTTTCTGAAGGAGTGCGAAGAGGCAGATTTTCATCGGGCATGGAGCAGAGCAGAGCAGAGCCCAGGATTTCACTTGGAGTATCACGCAGCCTGACTCTGAAAAGGTGCTTAGCCCTCAGAGCTGGCATGTGATGTTGGTCCTTGGCACCAGCACAGTGGTCAATCATCATTCCAGAGTCTCTCAAGGAGGGCTGAGTTTCTTCATCAGTTTGTGGGAAGTTAAATGTAAGAGACTGGGCCTCCTTCACTACCCCAGGCAGCTTATCTCATCATGGTCTACCCATAGCCATGTATGGAATAGCGTTGCCCATGCCATTCCTGATCCTGGCGTGGAGCTCTGGTCTTGGAGGAGTCGGTGTGTGGAAGCTCCTGACGGGCTGGACTGGCGAGCAATGCCCTCTCAGGTTGGGATGAGCCTCCACTCAGGCTTTGTCATCACTGTGCACCTTGGGTGGCCCTCTGGTTGTGGAATCCAGCCATTGCCCTCAGAGAGCGACTCCTTCTCATACCCTTGTCTCCTGAGCAGGCTCAGTATCTCATCTCTTTTCTTTTTTTTTTTTTTTGGTCAGTTGTGGGGCTTGAACTCTGGGCTTGGGCACTGTCCCTGTGCTCTTCAGCTCAAGGCGAGCACTCTACCGCTTGAGCCACAGTGCCATTTCCGGTTTTCTAGTGGTTTATTGAAGATAAAGAGTCTCACAGACTTTGCTGCCCAGGCTGGCTTTGAACCGCGATCCTCAGATCTCAGCCTCCTGAGTAGCTAGGATTACAGGCGTGAGCCACCGGCGCCTGGCTCTCAGCTCTTTTCTTTAGTGTTTCCTTGAGCATTGGTCTCCAGTGAAACTGTGGAGGAAGAAGCTGGGTCTTCAGTCTTCTCCCCAAACTCCCAATTCTGGTAGTGTCCTTCCTGGCCCATAGAGGGTCTGCTTCAGACCATACTGGGCTGACTCAACCTCCTCTTCCCAGCTGCTACTAAGGCAGAGGACGTGTCTGACGAGGGAGTCTCTTTCACTTGATAGCAGTTCTCAGGAAGGACCATACTGCATTTGTTTGTGGAGGCAAGGGTGTTCTTTCCAAGAGGACAGCGGAGTATCTCACTGCTGCCAGGTCCTTTTCAGCTTCCTTTTGGCTTGATGGACTCAGAAGGCATCAAACCACATTGGTTTCTCCTTATGGAAATATAAGAGACCAGCTGGGGGCTTAGGAATGCAGGATGCCTGGCCTCCAGCTGCTCTTTGCCTGGTTATTACCCTTCAGGCTGGAACATACAGGACAGCCTGGGGCTTACCTAGGATCCACTCTCTGCATGTGTGCTGTGGTTAGGGGGCCTGCATGTGACCTGGCAAGAGGCCTAGGACTAGCCCTGCAGCTGCCTGCAAAGTGTCAACCACATCATTGTGCTTTATCTCTGGTGTCTGGTGAGCATCAGAAGGAAAAGTCCCCTGTTAAAGATCATGCAAACCCTGACCTGTGTGTGTGTGTGTGTGCGCGCGCACGCACACGCGTGCCTGTGCCTGCGTACGTATGTGTATACACATGTGTGCATGAGTGCACACACATTCATGTACCTTCATAAAAAAATGTGGGAGGGGGTGATATCAGCTTTACACCGGAAAAGCATTCTGGTTTCTGTTTCAAAGGGCAGAGTTTGTGGTTGTTTTGCAGTTTCTGATCTGGGCATTTCCCCTTACATCTTTGGAAACTGTTCTCAGGCTGAGTCTTTTTGACCTAGTTCTCCCTCTTTCTTTTCTTTTTTTTTTTGTTTTGTTTTTTTTTGGGTCTGGTCGTGGGGCCTGAACTCTGGGCCTGGGTGCTGTCCCTCAGCTCTTCAGCTCAAGGCTAGCACTCTACCATTTGAGCCACAGCGCCACTTCCAGCTTTTTTCTTTTTGCTTATGTGGTGCTGAGGAATTGAACCCAGGGCCTCATGCATGCAAGGCAAGCGCTCTACCACTGAGCCACCTTCCCAGCCCCTCCCTCTTTCTTTTCTATCTGAATACAACGTCTCATTTTTACTCCAGCCCTATTTCACTGCTCCTTCCTGACCACATGGCTACTTTTTCTCATTTGTTCACTCAGTCATTCAGCAAACATTTAGAGGAGCTCTGGGTGAGGAGATGAGCAAATGCACAAGCAACATGATTAATACAGAGGAAAGCCCCAGTTAGTGAATGAATAGATCCTGGGAGTATGGAGCCAGGCCAAGGACTAGGATGAAATTGGGACCAAAAGCTGTGGGTCCAGTTTCAGTTGGATGGAGTAGAGAAGAAAGGAAGGCAAAAGCTTAAAGATAAATTCTGAGCCCTATCACAGCCTTGAAGGTCATAAAGGGAACAGATCCTAATTAGGGTGGGAGTGGGCAGTCTTGGGAGGGGAATGGATGGGACCTCCAGGAGTCCGAGCAATGTCTCATGAAGATTCACAAGTCAGGAAGAGTGGCTGGTTGGTGAGAACTAGGGGTGGGACCATTGGTAGCAGAGTCAGAGTTTCCAGCTAGAGGACAGGCCAGGGAATTTTGCTCTGAGGATGGAATAGGGCCCTTTACCGTCATGGATTAGAACCTAGGGGTTAGATCAACAGTGATGCTACTGCTACAGGTGGGGTAGAAGGGTCTGCTATGGCTGAGACTTCTATGGGCATGTCTTTAAGATGTGAGACATTTCAGTCATTCCCAGATCTCTGGGCCTGAGTCTGCTGAGTTTGGGCTCTGGTCTCCAGAGCCCCTTGTGGGCCTTCTCAGCTCTGACCTCTGGGTCTACAGTTGGTTTATGTATGCTGTATGTTGTCAGAAAGCAGTCTGCACCCAACAGAGTAGGGTTCCCATTGAATCCATCTCTTTCTCAGGTCCAAGCATCTAGCCTATATTCTCAACAAGGAAACAATGTGAGGGAGGGGATTGGCACAGAGCTGTCTCCCAGAGAGCGTACTCTCTGGCCTCTAATCCTTAGCAAAGATCTAACCTTAGATTGATGCATCTCTTTTATCACTTCAGATAACTGTGAGTGGTTTGGGCTCTGCCCCTGTGGTTGGAAGTTGTCTTCTTTTTCATTCCCTCCCTGGGGAAGAGTGTGGGAATGAGGAAACCACGCTGCCTTCCTTTGGGCAGTGACTTGGAGGCCCCAGGCTGACCTTTGCTCCTTCATTACTTTCCTAGTTGATATTCGTGAAATTAAGGAGATTCGCCCAGGGAAGACCTCACGGGACTTTGACCGCTATCAAGAGGACCCTGCTTTCCGGCCTGACCAGTCACACTGCTTTGTCATCCTCTATGGAATGGAATTCCGCTTGAAGACCCTGAGCCTGCAAGGTGGGAGTCCCAGTGAGGGCATAGGCCAGGGGATTGCTTGCCAGTCCCTGCCCTTTAGCTCAGCTGTTGCTCTGCTCACAGCCACGTCTGAGGATGAAGTCAACATGTGGATCAAAGGCTTAACTTGGTTGACAGAGGACACATTGCAGGCAGCCACGCCCCTACAGATTGAGAGGTAAGGTCCACCCAGATGGGTCCAAGAGGTGGGGCCTTAGGGCACAGGGTCAGGGACTTTAGGCCGCTCTGGACGCAGACCCCTCTGCTCCTCTTCCCCAGGACCCACCCTAGCTGGAGGAGTGGCCCTCACCTCAAGCTTTTCTCTCTCTAGGTGGCTTCGGAAACAGTTCTACTCGGTGGATCGCAATCGTGAGGATCGGTAGGTGCTGAACTATAACTTGAACCCACCTAGCAGGTAGTTAAGAGGCTACCAGAACGATAGCTGTGCCTCTTAAGTGCTGTCGGAAGAACATAATCCAAAGGACCAGCCTGTCTGAAGTAGGCCAAGGGGTTCTGGTACAGATAGCTTTCTGCAGAAAGTCCTCTGGTGGCCTTGGTACAAGCTGACAAGAAAGGCCAGCATGAGGATGTTGTGCATTCTGCACTGGGCAGAGTGGGTGTGCCTAACTAACTGCTGTCTGCCAGGACACCTTGAGGGTCAAGGTGGCTGGCAGTGTAGTGAAGGAGGGCATGCCTTGAAGTTGACAGCTTTTAGGTCTGGAATGACAGAAGGGCCAAGAGATGAGAAGCAAAGGCCAGGTATCCTTGTGTGTGGACACAGTAAGGCACTGTGATTATCTGAGAGGCAGGAAGCTGAGAGGTTTGTATGAGTGCCACACCGTGACTTAGTTTGCTGAGGATCATACTGGCTGCCTATGGATGACTGTGATTGCTTCACCATTCTGAATGGAAGATGAAGGCTTTCTCTGGAGTGGGAATGGTAGATAGGAAGTGGCTGGATTTTGTCTATATTTTGAAGATAGACTCAAAGTGAATTTCCTAACACATTGATTTTGGTGTTTGAAATAAAAAAGAGTAAAGAATCAGTAGGTTCTTTGGCTTGAAAAACTGGAAAATGGAGCTGTTGTTGATTGAGATGGGAAACCTGGAGGGAACACATCGTGGGGAGCTCAGAGTTTGGTGTGGGGTGGAGATTTCATGTGCATGGTAGTTGCCCAGGAAGAGGCATGGAGTCAGCAGTAGGTAGAATGAGTTCAAGGAACAGTCGGGGCTGGAGATGAAAACGTTAGAATGTACAGGTGATCCTGAAAACCTTGGGAGGTGGTTGGCTGTCACAGGGCGCACATGTGGGGAGGGAGGAGGGACAGTGGCTGACTTCACATTATGGATGGAGCCCACTAAGAGCAGATGAGGGTAAAAGGAAACCCCTATGGTGGGCGGCTTGGGCATAAGGGGAATGTGGCTGTTACTCCCAGGAGAAGGGGGACTGCAGCTGGAGACGTAAGTAAGCAGGATAAGGCAGGAAGAACTGGGGCCTTGTATACTGATGGGAAAGAATCTACAGAGGGAAATGGAAGGGGAGATAGACAGCATGTGTCTTAGTGGAAAATGGGGACCAGTGTTAGCACCTTCCTCCTGAGGGACTGAGGGTGGATGAGCTGATGCTCATGCAGAGCAATCACCTGCATTCAACAGCAGTTGACTGGTACTTCCTGCCATGCTCTCAGGCCAAGGGATACGTGGCCTCTACTCCCAGACCCCCTTCCTAGGAAAGAAAGCCTTCCTTCTCTTGTTGCCAGGACTACATCCTGGCTCCATGTCCTAGGCAGAACAGTCCTGGAAGGCCAGGACTCTTGTCCGGGGCTTACCCTGACCCAGCACTGAGGTGCTGACCAGGGGTTTTCCAGGAAAGCAGGTCAAGGTATTTCAAGTGTTGTGTTGAAGCCAACCACCCCTTATGAGCTGGGGGGGTGGGCATGAACAGCACCAGGGGATGCTAGAAGACTGTCTTTCCTGCCAGTCATGCCTGACCCACTTTCTTGAGCCTGGTCACTTCTTGCCAGAATCATGGGCTTTTTTGTTTGTTGGTTTGATTGATAGAGTGATAAATTCAAGTGAAGAAACTGAGGCCCAGAGAAAAGAAGGGATTTCCTTCAGTTGCCCCATTTCCTTCAAAGGGATTTCCTTCTGATCCAGTCTAGCCCTCAGGAATCCAGCTTCCCAAAGAATTGTTTACTGTTCAGCTAGTTCCAGATGGGCTTAGGTAGATGTCTGTTTTTTCAGTATATCAGCCAAGGACCTGAAAAACATGCTGTCTCAGGTCAACTACCGGGTGCCTAACATGCGCTTCCTCCGGGAGCGGCTGACGGTAAGAGCCTCTTTGATCTGTCTGCTGGCGGAATAGTGGAGGTCAGGAGCCCCTCAGCCGGGCCTGACTGGGCGTCACATTCTGTATTGTGTAGGACCTGGAGCAGCGCAGCGGGGATATCACCTATGGACAGTTTGCACAGTTGTACCGCAGCCTCATGTACAGCGCCCAGAAGACGGTGCATGAGCCACCTGTCCCGCTCCTGCCCTGCCCCTGCCCTTGCCCCTGCCCTTGCCCCTTCACCCACCCCAGCTCTGCTTGCCTCAGCCCTGCTACCCTGCTTGGGGGCTTGTGGGTACCATGGCTCCAGCATCCTCCTGAGACCTACCCCATCAGCTGCCCGCCTCTCTTCCTAAGAGCCACGTTCCTGCATGGCTTCCCAGGGCTCTCGCTCTGACCAGGTTCTGTTTCCTGCAGATGGACCTCCCTTTCTTGGAAGCCAGCACTCTGAGGTTTGGTTTCAAGTGGGGAGTTGGGGTTCTATCCTGGGTTATTCCAGATCCGGGTAGGAGGTAGTGGGGAGGGGGGAGCTATACTGGACCATCTTAGGCAGCTATGCTGACTGGAAGCTAGGCTCTGTCTTCTCCATCAGGCATGCTAGCCAGCTGACTGCCTGGCCCTTACCTTCTCTCCCTGCAGGACTGGAGAACGGCCAGAACTCTGCCGAGTGTCTCTTTCAGAATTCCAGCAGTTCCTCCTTGAGTACCAGGGGGTGAGACTGGGCTGGGGCTGGGCGTTGGGTCAGGTTGAGGGATGAGTTCACCCCTCAGATGGAGGCCTCACCCATTCACCACTTTCTACTTTGCAGGAGCTGTGGGCTGTTGACCGGCTCCAGGTACAGGAATTCATGCTCAGCTTTCTCCGAGATCCCTTGCGAGAGATCGAGGAGCCATACTTCTTCCTGGATGAGGTAAGCCCCACTTTCTATACTTTCTGCCAGAGGAAATGGTAAGGTAAGCAGGCCCCACCTGCACCCAAGGATTTAGATTCTCTTTGGGAATGTTACCTTGTCTCTACCTACTGTCTACCTTGCCTAACTAACTCAGTTAAGACTGAGTATCCGCCGCTGCTCCCACCTTCCATCCTGGCAGCAGCTAGGCTCACTTGCCCTTTGCACATCTGTTTTTGGACAGTTTGTCACCTTCCTGTTCTCCAAAGAGAACAGTGTGTGGAACTCTCAGCTGGATGCAGTGTGCCCAGACACCATGAACAACCCTCTGTCCCACTACTGGATCTCCTCCTCACACAATACGTGAGTAGCTCCCTCAGCACTGCCCAGCTCCTCCTGGGGAGAATGGCCAGCCCATAGGCTACACCACCTCTTCTGTGTGCCCAGATACCTGACCGGGGACCAGTTCTCCAGCGAGTCTTCCCTGGAAGCCTATGCTCGCTGCCTGCGGATGGGCTGCCGCTGCATCGAGTGTACGTGGGGTCTGGGGTGCGGGGAGGGAAGGGCCCTGGGCCAGGGGTTTGATTATGGTGACGTTGCTCCACAGTGGACTGCTGGGATGGCCCAGACGGCATGCCTGTCATTTACCATGGGCACACCCTTACCACCAAGATAAAGTTCTCAGACGTTCTGCACACCATCAAAGAGCATGCCTTTGTGGCCTCAGAGTGAGTGGATGTGGAAGACCTCCAGCTCCATCCTTCTCCTCTGTCCCTCACCTGCCAGGTCCCACTCCCTACTCTCCATCTTTGCCTTCCTCTTTGCTTGCTTGCTTCTTGTTCAAGCAGTCGTATACCAAGTTTTCCCCTCCATTACCCTGCATCCTTAGCCAACCTTCTTTTCTTTTCTGAAGAAAGCATCCCTAGATCATCTCAACCTCAGAAGCATTTCTGTGACTATAGTGTCTTTAGGCCAGTGTCCTGCCAGCTCCTTCACAACCGAGGAATTGTCTCTTCCCTGTTCTCCTGGGAGCGAGCCACTCCTCAAGCACCCTATTCACCTCCTCACATGTAGCGTCACCAATCTTATCTCCCTGGGGGGGCCCTCCAGAGCCCTCCAGCAGTAGCATTTGGAGGTTGCCTTTCATCTCTTCTGACTTTGCACTGTTGGAAAGCTCTGTAATTGTGCCCTCTCTGAGGCTCCCTTCTAGAGCACTGGCTACCCCTTGGCTCCAGAGCTGCCCCTGTGGAGTCCTTCCCCGCCCACCTATGACTACCTCTTCTCTGGGAAAGCTCTTATGGGTGAGGTGCTGTGGGCTTTGGTTCCCAGCACCCCATTCTGTAAGGGACTGATTGGACTGAGTCTGTCACTGCTGCCCCACAGATACCCAGTCATCCTGTCCATTGAGGACCACTGTAGCATAGCCCAGCAGCGGAACATGGCCCAGTACTTCAAGAAGGTGCTCGGGGATACTCTCCTCACCAAGCCCGTGGACATTGCTGCTGATGGGCTTCCCTCACCCAACCAGCTTAAGAGGAAGATCCTCATCAAGGTGTGGTGGAGGTGCCCGTAACATCCCAGCACACTTGCCCAGGCCAGGGCTTCTGCTCTTGGTCTAGTCCCAGGTGAGGTGGTGGGTCTAGGCCTGGAGCAGGTATTATCATGACCTGGCCTGCTCTCCCCTCTTTTCCCCACCCCCCCCCCCAGCACAAGAAGCTGGCTGAGGGCAGTGCCTATGAGGAAGTGCCCACCTCTGTGATGTACTCTGAGAATGACATCAGCAACTCCATCAAGAATGGTATTCTGTACCTGGAGGACCCTGTGAACCATGTGAGGCCCGGGCTGGACTGGGCTGGTTGAGGCCAGGAGGTGGGGGATTATGGCTTATAGCTCCCCCTCCCTTGGTCTTCCCAGGAATGGTATCCCCATTACTTCGTTCTGACCAGCAGCAAGATCTACTACTCTGAGGAGACCAGCAGTGATCAGGGCAACGAGGATGAGGAGGAGCCCAAAGAGGTGAGGAGCTGGCCGTGGGCTGGGGCTGTGATGGCTAGGGCTGGGCAGAGGCGCTGAGTGTCTGAGCCATGACTGCTCTCATCAACAGGCCAGTGGGAGCACAGAGCTACACTCCAGTGAGAAGTGGTTCCATGGGAAGCTTGGGGCTGGCCGGGATGGGCGGCACATTGCCGAGCGCCTGCTCACCGAGTACTGCATCGAGACTGGGGCCCCCGACGGCTCCTTCCTAGTGCGGGAGAGTGAGACCTTCGTGGGCGACTACACGCTCTCTTTCTGGTAACCATCCCAGTACGGTGTGTTCTGTCAGCATGAGTACGTGGACGGCATCATCAGAGATACCTGTGCTTAACATTGGAGGTTTTGTGTCTAGGCTTGTATGTGAACATAATACAGATACTCTCTTCCACACATGCACACACAAGCAGGTGAATTTTCAGTCTATTTGAAGGCCTCCCACACGATTCTCGCCCACCTGAGCTCCTTAGGAAAATGGTCCCCCCTCTTTGGGACTGGTACCTTGCCGGGGGTAAAATTTGAGGAGTCCACACCTGTTTCTTAAGTCTCCTCATTCTCTTTGCTCAGGCGGAATGGGAAAGTCCAGCATTGCCGCATCCATTCCCGGCAGGATGCTGGGACCCCCAAGTTCTTCTTGACCGACAACCTTGTCTTTGACGCCCTCTATGACCTCATCACACACTATCAGCAGGTGCCTCTACGCTGCAATGAGTTTGAGATGCGCCTTTCAGAGCCCGTCCCACAGACCAATGCCCACGAGAGCAAAGAGTGAGGAAGGGGACAGGGCTGGTGGGTGGGGACATGCATGGTGCTGGCCAGAGCCTGACTCTGTCTGTACTCAGGTGGTACCATTCAAGCCTGACCAGAACACAGGCTGAGCACATGCTGATGCGTGTGCCCCGTGATGGAGCCTTCCTGGTGCGGAAACGGAGCGAGCCCAATTCGTATGCCATCTCCTTCCGGTAAGGGGTGCAGCCTTGGGGTGTGAGAGGGAGCCTGGCCTGGGCACTTCATGTCGGTCAGTTTGTGTGATTTCCTGTTCTCCTGAAGGGCTGAGGGCAAAATCAAGCACTGTCGAGTCCAGCAGGAGGGCCAGACTGTGATGCTGGGGAACTCTGAGTTTGACAGCCTTGTCGATCTCATCAGCTACTATGAGAAGCACCCATTGTACCGCAAGATGAAGCTGCGCTACCCCATCAATGAGGAGGCTCTGGAGAAGATCGGCACTGCTGTGAGGGGGCTGGGAGGCATGGCGGGAACAGAAGAGACCCAGAATCTCATGGATATGTCTGACAGTACCTTCTGGGTGTTATAGGAGTTTTAGGAGGGGGTCTTTCACTTGGCTGGGGCCAAGCCAGAAGGGAGTGACAGATGTGAGTTGTGTCTTCAAGATGTGGGTAGCGTTCAAGCAAAAAGATCTCTATGAGCCAAGGGGGCGTGGTGACAGAGTCCAGGAGTTGGCACAGGGAGAGACATGCATGCAGGAAACATGTTCATACACTGGGCTTGGAGAGGCAAGGGAAGTAGGCTGCATGGTATGGCTGGAGCGCTCTGGGGGATGCCAGAAGAAGGGGCCCTCAGAAGGGGCAGGAGGGCCCTTGACCAAGCTCATGGCCTTGGATAGGGGAGTGGCACCTCAGGCAGGTGGTGAGCCAAAAGGTATGGAGGGTGGTGAGAGGAGAGGCAGGAGGAGTTTTCTGACTTCAGGGAGAGCCAGTGATTAAAAGCATGGAGCATGTGGTCCTTGTGTGGGACCTAGGTACAGATAGCTCATGAACAGTTGGGGTTTGGACCTTTAAGAGCCCAGATGAAGATTTGAGAATCATATTTTAAGCCTTAGATAAGGGTGTGCAAGCCAGGGGCTGGTGGCTTACGCCTGTAATCCTAGCTACTCAGGAGGCTGAGATCTGAGGATCACAATTTAAAGCCAGCCCAGGCAGGAAAGTCTACGAGACTCTTATCTCCAACTAACCACCAGAAAACCAGAAGTGGCTCTGTGGCTCAAGTGGTAGAGAGCTAGCCATGAGCTGAAGAGCTGACGGACAGCACCCAGGCCCAGAGTTCAAGCCCCATGACTGACCAAAAAAAAAAAAAAAAAAGTATGTGCAGATCAGGCCTGAGGCCTTCTGAGGTGGGTTGGGAAGTCCCATTGACATGACCACATGTCAGTGAAGAGGACAGACTTACTTGGTGGCCAGGCAAGGAAGGCTAGGTGGAAGCCATCTCTGCTGGAGAAGGAGCCTGTGGGAGCTAGCAGCTCCTTTTTGTCTGGGTTCTGGAGCATTAACAGATCCCACTATGTCTTTTTCTAGGAGCCCGACTATGGGGCCCTGTACGAGGGACGCAATCCTGGTTTCTATGTGGAGGCGAACCCTATGCCAACATTCAAGGTACAGAGCCACTTTTGGAAATAGGAGGTGGGGGCAAGGTTCCCAGCTGTTTGGGACTTAGAATTCTATGTTCTGGGCTCATCTGTGGTCTGTAAGGAGAAGTAGTGGTTGTGGTTTTCTGAGGCCCAAGAGGTTGTGAGAGATGTGTGGTTGGCAAATGACGGCAGCTCTCCCAAGGCCAACCCCCTCCCTAGGTCCTGTCTCGTGTGTTGGCACTGACTATTCAGAACTGCTGTAGGAGTCCCCTCTTCCCCATTTCTGCCATAAGCCACAGCAGATCCTCTTGCTCCGTTCTCAGATACAGGAGACTATGCCCTATTTATCCCTCCCCCTCAGCAGCCAGGGGCCTTCAGCAGTGGAACATGAGCTGTGCCCACAGGCTATAGGTCCTGGGAGATACACTTGGGAGGGCTACTGCAGAACTTCCCTTCCTGCCAGCTCTGATTCCTGGGAATAGACTCAAGGTTCACCTTGTGGCCTAGATGGGGTTCAGAATATTCCACCTGAGTCCTCTGGAGCTTCCCTGACAGTGTCCCTCCCCCTCCCAGCCTTACTAGGGCTGGTTGCCAGCACTAGCAACTCCCATTGGCCTGAGCCCAGAGGTGGGTAGCATAGGCGTAGGTAAGACCTGAAGCCCTGGTAGCAGAGAGGGACTGTTTTCACCTGTTCATCCCACTTTTGCAGTGTGCAGTCAAAGCCCTCTTTGACTACAAGGCCCAGAGAGAGGATGAGCTTACCTTCACCAAGAGCGCCATCATCCAGAACGTGGAGAAGCAAGACGGGGGCTGGTGAGCCTGCTCCCTGGGCTGGGGAGCCTGTGTGTGGTGGGACAGGAGCTGGAACTAAGAGGTCCCACGTGTGCACCAGCGATGCTGCTTTGGCCTGGCTTAGGTGTGGGAGCCCCCAATAAAGGATGCCTTCCTTGTGGGCATTGGGTTAGTTTCTGAGAGGTCAGCACTCTGCCACTTCTCCAGGTGGAGGGGAGATTATGGTGGGAAGAAGCAGCTGTGGTTCCCATCAAATTATGTGGAAGAGATGATCAGCCCTGCAGCTCTGGAGCCTGAGAGGGAGGTGAGATTTTCCCGTCCTGGTTCTCTTCTCCACGCCTCCAGCACACACAGTCCTAGTCCGGCCTATGCGAGCACACGCACCTATCGCATGAGGGCCAAGCACAGAGCCTGTGTGGCTCTGTCCCTGTGTCGCCGGGCTCATCATGGGACACCTGCAAGATGCATTGTCTCACACACACATCCCCTTCACATGCACGCGGCAGCCATGCTGACCATTCTGTGGGCTTTGCTTCCTGTAGCACTTGGACGAGAACAGCCCTCTGGGGGACTTGCTGCGGGGGGTCTTGGATGTGCCAGCCTGTCAGATTGGTGAGCCCTTATTCCTTTCTCCCACCCCCTGTTCTGTAATGTCAGGCTCTCCTTTCGATTCCTTATGCTTCTGGAGGTGAAGCCAGTAGCTGAAACCCCAGAGGCTGCTCTCACCTAAATTTCCCCCATTATCTGGCCACCCCAGGCTCCTTTTGTCACTCCTAGCTTTGTCCCTTGCATGTTGGCCCTGTGCCAGGCACTGTGGAGTCAGAATAAATAGCATAGATGCTGAGGGTTGATGGGTTGTGCCACATAGGTGTTGTAACACAGATACGGAGATGGGAGTACAGAAGGGGACATGGCCCAAGGCAGGGGTGTGAGTCATGTAGAGCTGGACCGAAGCTCTGGTACTACCACAACTGCCCATGATGTGTCTGAGTTGCAGTGTAAAATGGGCCCACATACTGGTCTCCACTTACAGGGTGCAGCTAGGAAGAGAGGATGAGGTAGAGCTCATTTCAGCCAATGCTCTGGGTGTGGGTGGAGGACAGAGAGGTTTCCAGCTCTTGTCTTCTCTCACCTTCCCAGCCATCCGTCCTGAGGGCAAGAACAACCGGCTCTTCGTCTTCTCCATCAGCATGACATCAGTAACCCACTGGTCCTTAGATGTTGCTGCAGACTCACAGGAGGAGCTGCAAGACTGGGTGAAGAAGATCCGTGAAGTGGCGCAGACCGCAGATGCCAGGGTGAGAACCAGGGGCAGCCTAGAGGGCGCTGCTGGGGCCGGGAGGACAGCCAAGACCTCTATTCCCACCACTAGTCCCTTCAAAGCAGGCTGCTGATGCCTTACCGAGCTCACCTTTGCCTTGCCTTAGGGAAGGATCCAGAAGAGTAGACTCATAGACAGCAGCCTGGTGTGCTTAGAAAGTGTTGAAAATGCAGTGCTGGGTCATCCAGGAGAGGATACATAGCGGGAAGTTGGAAACATAAGCGATGTCCTGGGCTGGAAGGGTATGCTGGTAGGGAAAGGGTGAGCCTGCTGTGAGGATGTGAGCCCAGGGTGGGTGGAGAGGCTGCAGCCCCTAGGGATAGCAAGTCTCCGATGTGCAGAGGGGTAGTCAGATGTGAAAAGAACCCGAGCGTGCCCACTGGTGTTACCAGTGCAGATACTGAGGTGTGGCAGTGACATGCCTAGGTTGGGTGTCAGCTAAGACTCAGGAACAGCTCCCTGAGGGAAAGGTGGGTCTAGGGTTTGGTGAGTGGTGGCAGAGATCTACACGGTGGGAAAGACACTAGTCTTCTGGAGGAGGCAGGTTGTTCCACTGGCCTGGGAACAGGAGGAAGCATGTCAAGAGTAAGGGAACTCCTGCTTGGAGGCATCATCCCACTGCATCTAGGGTGTGTCTTGTACCTGTGAGCCCAGTGGAGAGGGTGTGGGCACTGAGGATGTATTGAGGCTAGAGTGTGAGGTGCTGGGGAAAGAGACCCAATGGTGGAGGCAACAGATGCTGACTCTAGTTGGAAAGCAAAGAGAAAGTATGAGTAAGAGGACCTCCTGTGTGGCATGCTGGGCGTAGTGTCAACGCAGGGCAGGGTGTCTAGGTGGGTTTCTGCAGCTCAGATTGGGCGTGGAAAGAAGTGGGTCATGTTGCTGTTGGGAAACTGAGGTCGTAAAAATCATCTTAGGCACAGATGTTGCTGAGCCAGGGTATGAGGACTTAGTACAGCCTCAGGTAGCCAGGAGGTTTTTGTGGGGTTTGCCCAGGGATGAGGCTGGGGAAGGGGGGAGGGAGCAGGGCCAGCCCTGGGCTCCCTGTGAGATCATGTTGGTGATGGTGAGGATTTCACCTTCTCAGAGGATTGGAGGACGAGTGTATCCTTGAGGACATAAAAAGATGAAGCTGAGGACAGAAGGCCTTGTTTGCCTTGTTTACTGCCTGGCGGGATCCGGAAGTTGCATAAAAGGGGGTCAGAGGGCCCCAGAGCACCTACAGTGTGGGCCTGCCCACCGCTGGCAGGAGCCGTCTCCTGGGCAGAGCTGGAGCCTGGGACAACAAGGCCTTGTGTGTATTACCAGCTCACCGAGGGGAAGATGATGGAAAGGAGGAAGAAGATTGCCCTGGAGCTTTCTGAACTTGTCGTCTACTGCCGGCCTGTTCCCTTTGATGAAGAGAGTAAGGCCAGGCCCAGGTGGGATGAGTGGGCACTCGGGGCCTGGTGGTGTAGGCACTTTCCCTGGCTGGCTGGAGAGGGGTGTTCAGTGCCCCCTTTACTCCCTGGACAGACAGGCTCTGTAAGCATTCTCCCTGTTTGGTTCAGAGATTGGCACAGAACGGGCCTGCTACCGGGATATGTCATCCTTCCCGGAAACCAAGGCTGAGAAGTATGTGAACAAGGCCAAAGGCAAGAAGTTCCTCCAGTACAACCGGCTGCAGCTCTCCCGCATCTACCCCAAGGGCCAGCGGCTGGATTCCTCTAATTATGACCCTTTGCCTATGTGGATCTGTGGCAGTCAACTTGTAGCGCTCAACTTCCAGACCCCAGGTGAGGAGACCCCCCTATGGGGGACAGTGGGGAGGCGCATCTGGGCAGTTGGACTAGAACACATTGGAACCCCACTCTTCTAGACAAGCCTATGCAAATGAACCAGGCCCTCTTCATGGCGGGTGGGCACTGTGGCTACGTGCTGCAACCAAGCACCATGCGAGATGAGGCCTTTGACCCGTTTGACAAGAGCAGCCTCCGGGGACTAGAGCCCTGCGCTATCTGCATCGAGGTAGGTGGTGTTCATGGGTTTTCCGTGGGAAGGGGCTGCTCTTAGCTGAGAGATGTTAGTGGTGTGCTTGTTAAGAGTGGGGATGTTGGGGCTGGGAATGTGGCTCAGTGGTAGAGTGCTTGCCTTGCATGCATGAGGCCCTGGGTTTGATTCCTCAGCACCATATAACCAGAAAAAGCCGGAATGGTGCTGTGGCTCAAGTGGGAGAGCGCTCGTCTTGAGCTGAAGAGCTGAGGTACAGCGCCTAGGCCCAGAGTTCAAGCCCTACAACCAACAACAACAACAAAATGGGGGCTGGGAAGGTAGCTCAGTGGTAGAGTGCTTGCCTTGCATGCATGAGGCCCTGGGTTTGATTCCTCAGCACCACATAAGCAGAAAAAGCCGGAAGTGGTGCTGTGGCTCAAGTGGTAGAGTGCTAGCCTTGAGCTGAAGAGCTGAGGGACAGCGCCCAGGCCCAGAGTTCAGGCACCATGATTGGCCAAAAAAAAAAGAATGGGGATATCTCAGGAGTCCAGGCTGGGGGTCATTCAGCATGTGGGGAGAAACATAGCCAGGAGAAGCAGTTGCATACTTCTAGAGAAGTCTTGTATAGGTGAGGGGAGTCACAAGCTCAAGAAGAATCCTCCTCCTCTGAGGTGGAAAGTCTGCAAGGGTCCCCTCCCCACTGTGCGTTTGGCATCTCAGAGGCAGCTGGACTGACTGGCCACTTCCTGGCACTAAGGAGTCAAGCTTCCAGGAAGGCCACCCTGTGGGAAACCACCCACTAACAGAATAGGCTGGTCAGGATGACAGAGGACAAAAGCACCTGGTTAGCCCGGTGCCCATTTACAAGAGTAAGCCAGAGCTGGGCTTCGCATGGCCCAGGGCCTCCTTGCCCTCAGTCCTTCAGCCCCCAGCATGCCTGTGGTGAAAAGCTGTGGCAAGGGCTAGCCTGGGGCAGGGGGAGGGAGAGACAAGCTGGGAAAGCTTGAAGGAAGAGTGTGGTATGGGGGCCAAGTCGGGCACACCTAGGGTAAGTGCAGAGCCACTGATGAACTTCCCTAATAGGAAGCAATATAAAAGATTTCCAGGGGCTGGGAATGTGGCCTAGTGGTAGAGCGCTTGCCTAGCATGCATGAAGCCCTGGGTTCGATTCCTCAGTACCACATATACAGAAGTGGTGCTGTGCCTTGAGCAAAAGAAGTTCAGGGACAGAGCCCAGGCCTGAGTTCAAGCCCCAGGACTGGCAAAATAAATTCTTTATTGAAACACACAGATTTAACATGAGGTAGATTGCAAAACTTATGTGAAATATTTTGGTTAGAGCTTAGATTTGTGTGTGCGTGCGTGCGTACGTGCGTACATACTTGGGTGCATGCTGGTCTTGGTCCTGGGGCTTGAACTTAGGGCTATTCCTGAGCTTTTTAGCTCAAGATTAGGTCTCTATCACTTGAGTCACAGCTCCACATCTAGCACGTAGAGATTAGGTTTTTATAGGCAGCTGGCAGCTGCTCTGACTTGGGGCCCTGATTTGTGGATTTATGGGCAGAGTTCTTAGGGCCCAGCAGAGGGCGCACTCCCTCCACATAGGTTTGTTCTGAGCGGTGGTTATGGTAATGACAAGAACAGTAAGACAATTCCTGTCTCATCTCCACCTGCCTTACAGGTACTGGGGGCCCGGCATCTGCCAAAGAATGGCCGGGGCATTGTGTGTCCTTTCGTGGAGATTGAGGTAGCTGGGGCTGAGTATGACAGCGTTAAGCAGAAGACAGAGTTCGTAGGTAAGTCAGGACCGTTCTCTTTCTCCTGGGCTGCTAAAAGCTTCTCCTTGCTGGGTACCTCATCTTTTTTCCTTGCTTTCACAGTGGACAATGGTCTGAACCCTGTATGGCCTGCCAAGCCCTTTCACTTCCAGATTAGTAACCCTAAATTTGCCTTCCTTCGCTTTGTGGTATATGAGGAAGACATGTTTAGTGACCAGAACTTCTTGGCTCAGGCTACTTTCCCAGTAAAGGGATTGAAGACTGGTGAGGGCCCTTCGCTGACACAGTGCCCTGGGACCTTGCTGCTGGGGTGGGGCTGGGCCCTTGGCTGGCACCTTTCTGTGCTGAGCCAGGCTTTCCTCCTCATAGGATACAGAGCAGTGCCTTTGAAAAACAACTACAGTGAAGACCTGGAGTTGGCTTCCCTGCTCATCAAGATTGACATTTTCCCTGCTAAGGTGACTGCAACAGGGGTGGGTGGGTGGAGAATGGACATTATCTCCCCCTTCCCAGGGTGCAAGTAGCCCTTGACCTCTTTGCCCTTGTTGAGCAGGAGAATGGAGACCTCAGTCCCTTTGGTGGTACATCCCTGCGGGAACGGAGCTCAGATGCCTCCTCCAACCAGCTGTTCCATGGCCGGGCCCGAGAAGGGTCCTTGGAAGGCCGCTATCAGCAGCCGTTTGAGGACTTCCGCATCTCCCAGGAGCATCTTGCAGACCATTTTGACAGTCGAGAGCGAAGGTTAGGGAGGTGGGGGAGGCAGCTGATATGGCTAGGGAGGGTGCTAGAGTCGAGAAGGCTGGCTCTCCCATGACATCTCCTGGGTAAAGAATGTGCAGTTGTCTGGCTTTGCAGCCCATGAGGCTACAAGGCCCTGTTACCAGTAAGGACACTTGCTTCTGTCCAGGGCCCCAAGAAGGACTCGAGTCAATGGAGACAACCGCCTCTAGTGCCCCGCCTTGTTGGAGAGTAGCAGGTGCTGCGAGCCTCATGGAGCGCGGTGAACTGGGTTCTCTGGGAGTGGCCTACCGTGGCAGCCTTCCTGGTGTCACAGCCTGGAGCCTGGATTCCAGCAGTGAATGCTAGCAAAACCAAGCCATTAATGAGATGTACTGTTTGGGCCCTCCGTGCCCAACTCTGGGTGAAGGCAAAAACTTTACTGTGTCTCGCATTAAGCACACATCTGGCCCTGAATCTAGAGATGGTTCTGTCCATCTTGTGGGGCCAGGACCAGGGCCGAAGCCCTTTGGAGAGGGAGGCAGCCTCCTTGGCGGCACAGGAGGCTTCAAGGAGCCGTTGACATTCCCGAGAGTGGAAGAGGAGGAGCCTTGCAGGGCCAGGGAAGCAAACAAAGTTTACATTGTCCTGTAGCTTTAAAACCACAGCTGGGCAGGGTAAGAGCATAGAGGTCCCTGGAGCCAGGGCAGAGGAAGTCAAGGTCTGTGTGGAGGAGGAGGAGGGCTCTGCCCTGCCCCAGGAGGAGGACACAGCACAAGGGCACATTGCCCGTGGCTGGGATGCCACCTAGCCTGACAGATACAGGGGATCATGATAAAACATAGCAGTATTATTTTTCTTCTCAGTGGTATTGTAACTAAGTTATTCACTCCTCCTGCTCCTTACCCTCAGAGGGAAACCTCAGTACAGAGCCTTTGTGAGCTGCGCTGCCAGCCCGGCTTGGAAGGGGCTCAGTATGGGTGGTAAGGCTGTGGGGGAAGGGGTGGGAAGAGGAAATAGCCAAGTATCCCGGTGAACTTTTTTTGTTTGTTTTTAAGGTAAGGAAGACTTTGTTCTCCCTTAGGAATGAACAGGGGATGTAAGGAGCTACCTGCCACCTGGGTAGGTGGTCAGGCAGTCAGACGCTGAGTAAAGCTGCTTGGCTCAGCACAGCTTCTGGGGAGGGAGGAGAGAGCGGAAGCGCTGGGAAGGCAGCCCCCCTGAGGTCAGAGGCTGGGGACCAGCCCCGTGGGTGCCAAGGTGCCTCATAGCATAGCCAGCATTCAGCACACGCAAACCCACTGCCCACATTTGGGCTCAGGGTTGGCCATTTGCTAGTTCTGCTGCCCTCTTAAGATCTGACTGCCAAATAAATCATCCTCATGTCCTTTTTCCTTTAACTTGTATGCTTCTTGCGGGAGAGGAGGGGGGCAGAAAAATCTCAGATAATCAGAGGCTACCTTTTCTGCGCCATTGTCCCTTGCGGGCGTGACAGATGAATGGAGCACGTCTTACCTGGGAGCAAGTCCAGGCTCACCATCAGCCATGCAACCAGAGGGCCACGCCCCCTTCCCCCCCCCCAACCTCCCTATGCAGTGGCCAGACGTGTTACCTCTGTGCCATGTCATGTCTCTTCCCGAGGGTCTTTGTGGGGGTATGAAGAATAGCACAATAAATGACAGAAGGGTTGGGGCTGGGAAGGTAGCTCAGCGGTAGAGTGCATGCCTTGCAAGCATGAGGACCTGGGTTCGGTTCCTCAGCACCACATAAACAGAAAAGGCCAGAAGTGGTGCTGTGGCTCCAGTGGTAGAGCACTGGCCTTGAGCTGAAGAGCTGAGGGACAGTGCCCAGACCCAGAGTTCAGGCCCCATGACCGGCAAAAAAAAAAAAAAAAAAAATGACAGAAGGGTGTAAATGGTGTGGTGTGCCTGGCCTGGCCTTTGCAGCTGGAGTCACAGTGGCAGGCTCCGATTCTGGCTGGCCATCCCACTGCAGACAGGAGAGGGCCTTTCCCACACACCGTTGGGTAGGAATTGATGAGACTTTCATGATTCCTGTTCCCTTCTACCTGAGCCTTGTGGCTAAGGAAAACGTGTTATCCGGCCCATCTGCATGGCCGTGTAACAGCCTTGGCTTGAGGCTGACCACTTGCATCACTACACTCCCATTTACTGCAGTACACGTGTTAGGCAGCAGGGTCTGGGTGAAGCTCAGCTTCACCTGACTTCGCCTGACAGCTCTGATTCCTTAAGCAGCTTCATAGACCTACTAAAGACTCGTCTTTCTTGGCCTCTTACTATAAACATTCCTTTAGTTGAGAAGGGAGGGTGCTGATAGGCTGGTTCCCAGCAAGTCGTTCCCTGGGGCCGAATGTCTTGGTATCTCACCTGGTTCCCGTCATACATGCTGTCCCTACGTGTGTCAGGAAGCTCTGCCCTCACCCACTGGGTTATGACCTGTGGCATCCCAGCTCCAGAGCATGTTAGAGCCCGAGACTGGGCCTTACAGGAGGATTATTCACAAGCTTCCTAGGTGGCGAAAAGGGCTGAGAATTGACTTGGGAAGAACAAACCAAAAATAGAAGGGGAAGTCAGTGGTAACCAGGGACGCTTGGTCCTGGCTAGTAGACCGGGGCAATGTAGACACACCAAAGTGGCTGACCTTAGCTTTAACCAAACGCCACTCAGCACAACACAGGATTGCCTACGAGGCTGGGGCATTGTGCCTCCTGCCACAGACCTCTTGTGTCCTTGCGGGGGGAGACCCACTGGCCTAAATTAGAAGGAGAACATCCTTCTCCTAACCAGGCACATCTTGAACTTCACCGGAGGACTGGGCCAGAAACTCCCTTGTGATGTTGTGGGTAGCGTCAGGCCATATTCGCTCTGTTGAAGGGGGAAAAGCAAAAATGAACAGATTGTCCCAACTAGCTCAGTCAGAAACAAGGTTGTGCCTCACATTTTATTTAAATGGATGAGGTCCTTTCTCAGCCTCAGAGGTCTCTTCTTCCTTGATCTTTCATATTCTCAGAGAACTTAGAATCACCTGGGCATTCTGCTCCCTCCCCCCCACCCCCCGCTTTGCTGAGTACTCCTGCCAACCCCACCCTGTCATGTCCTGATTCAGCCCACCAGGTCCCTGGCTGATGGGCTCCAGGGTTTTATTCATGCTCAGTCTAGCTCAAGGACCTGGTCTTTAGACCCATCACACAGCTGTTTCCCTCGGACCCAGCCTGGGCACTGAGAAGCTACTGAAGCACAGGCCCTGGTGTCTACCACCTTGGTTTGGTGTGTTTCTGTCTCAGGTGACTAATTCACAGGTCCCCCTTTCCTTGGGCCTAGCAGAATTCACTTGCTTGGAATCTTAGAGGTCTTCTCTGGGTCTTCCAGAAGGTCTTCCTCCCCAGCTTGCCCAGGGCTGTGGGTAAAGCTGAATGGACACTGGGCCAACAGGGGAGCGAGGAGGAGCGGTGGGTGTTCTCTGTGTAATAACAGTTACGGCACAGTCTGACCCTCCTTGGGCACTTGTGAATGTCAAGCACTTGACAAATGATACTCTTTTCTGTGAGCTCTTTTCTCCCAGGGAAAAGCAAGACACTTGCTAGTGTCTGTTCACAAATATTCATGGCTTTTACTGTGTTTGCCTTTGTCTGTTGCAAGTAGTTTCTAAAGTACTGCAGGTATTTCACACGGACGCTATTGCAGTGAGCCCAGCAGGGCAGGGACGGTGAATTTGAGCCCCAGCTCTGAGGGAAACTCTTACCTGTTCATGAGAATTTAAGGTCAGTTTGCCCACAGACTAATCAGTAGATTATTTCTCCCCCCGCCCCACTCCCTAGTGTTCCTGGTTTTCTCTAACTTCCCCTCAAAATAAATTGGCAGATGTGAAATATATGTACATTTTTATTAAGGAACAATCAAAAAGTTTAAAGTACCATTGAGGCCCATTCCAAACTGTACAGTTTGCCCCTGTTCCCCTCCCTTACCCAGATCCACAGATAGAAAATCTAGGAAATGTGCAATCTGCATCTTAGAAATAGCAGCGTCCCCACAGGGGACCTCGGGAGGCCCGGGAGCGCAGCCCCACACCTCCCGCCTGGAGCCACCAGAGCCCACGCCGAAGGAAGCGCCAGGTTTTACCAGGGTAAAAGATTCCCATTCCTCCAGATGGATACACCAGTCCGCCATTTCCCGGCTTTGGCCTCACGCTTGGTCGCAGCAGGAGGTGGGCCCCTCTTACCCAGTTCTGCGGAAGGTTCATTTTGCCTCTGGACAATCACACAGGACAGTTGCCCTTCACTTAGCACCAGAATGATCACGTCTTCAGCTGTCCCCAGGGCAGGGGCAAGTGTGAAGCAAAATGTTCAAATCATTCCCTAGTCTCACCCAGGAACAAAGGGGTTTGGACCAAAGACCAGAACGCAGCTGGTGTTAGATGACCAGAATCAGGACCTGGTCCGGAAGGAGCCCCCGGGCCTTCTGCAACCTCCCCAACTTGCCCAGGGCTGTGGGTAAAGCTGAATGGACACTGGCCAACAGGGGAGCGAGGAGGAGCGGTGGGTGTTCTCTGTGTAATAACAGTTATGGCACAGTCTGACCCTCCTGACACAGCTCAACAAAGTGGCTGCTCAGAAGCATGGGGTAGTTCACTGCCCAGGGTGAGCACTGCTGCCCTGGCCTTTGTCCAGTTCCCATGGGAAGGGACCTGGAGGTCATGCTGCCGAGAAGTGGGTGGAACTTTGACCCTGCAGCAAGCAAGCTAAGACAATGAGACCGCTGTATGGACAAGAACCAGAGACAAGTAACGAGGTCTCAAAAATGACAGGAGCAGGCACCACATGAGGGACACCCTCTTCCGTGCTTCCCGGGGCTTGCTGCTTGGAAAGACCAAGCCCTTGCAGCCTTCTTTGTGTATCTAGTGACTTGGGGCTTGAGTATCCATCCTTTATCACAGGCATTTCGCCTGCCACTCCCATCACATTGGTCATTCTGAATCACTCATGGGAGAGAACGTAAGAAAAGGTACTTGTTAGCACACGTGCCTGAGCGTGCACACCTAGCCTGTTTCCTGGAGGAAGAGGCACTGATGGCAGGCGTCCTGTCTTGCCACCTGCCCTCCCATACGGACAACAGGACAGCGCCAGGCAGTGAGAAGAGCAGGAGAGGAAAATCTCTGCCAGAATAGCCAGCTTCTGTCCTTCCTTGGCTCTGCGTGGCTCTGGCCCAAGCAGCACAAGGGCCAGGCGGGAGGAGGAAACACAAAGCCGTAACTACATTCTCTGAATGCCCACGGGCCTGCACACCAGATAGGGTTTTTAAAACCAGAGAGACAGGTGTTTGCTTCTTGGCATTGGGCAAGCAGGCTCTAGACTGAGGCTCCTGTCCCTTCTCCAGACTTCCTGCTGGCATCTGTGCTAAAAAGAAACCTGCTGTTTCTCCGGTCTTAACTCATAGATTCACTGACAGTGTGGGATAGTGTGGGGTAGCTGGCTAGTGTTGCTAAGAGCTTGACATCAAGGCTGGCTGCGTAGTCTCTGCTCTCTCCAGGACATGCTCTCTGGTTAAGCTCTTTGCACTTCACAACTGAATGCAGAAGCTGGGCCAGCTCTGTGCACTGGGCTCGCTCCCCACCCCATCTTCCCAGTATGGCCCGGAACTGGAAGCACAGATCTCAGCGGAAATGAATTCTACTGGAGGCCTGTAGATTCCGTTTGGACTTCGAGCTGGATCAGGTAGCAATCCAGGAAGCACCATGATGGCCACTTCCCGCTAGGCACAGTCTCAACAGAAACCTGGCATTCTGTTGATGTGTCCCCTTCACCCCCTCCACAGCCTCCGCAGCCCAGGTTTCATGCTCTGCCATTTCCCTTCTCACTGAAATGGGCCAGAGCAATGAAGTCTCCGGAAGGGAACCTGTGCCCAGAGGAAGGCTCAGGCCCACTACTGCCTCTGCTTCAGGTGCTAGAGCTCTTCAGAAACTGGATCTCCTCAGCACACAGAGACCACCCCAGGGTCTGGGCAGGATGGCTGCAGAGGTGTGTTTTCTCAGGGAAAGGGAGACCCGGGGAGAGGGGCCTCCAGGCCCAGAATGAGAACCAGGTCTCACTAGCCACCTGACCTGGAGACAGACAGCTGTGCAGACAGCCACATGTGCACAGCACTACCCACCAGGCTGCAGCTGAGCCTGACCATGAATACAGTGCGCAAGAACTTCAGACACGCATCGCCAGGAAGGCGAAGCAAGCTCATGAACATCCCTAGATAAACAGGGAAAAGGGAAGGAGGATTTAAATGTCCAAACTCCAAGGTTTTAGGATTTCCTTGGCTGCTTCTCTCCTACGGAGTGACTATCCGCTTAGGCAGTGATGACTGAACTGGCAAAATGTCTACA